CTTGCATTTCCTTTAAAAACAAAAATTATGTGCCTACTGTCTGTTGTATGCTCATGCCTAGGGAGCTATTCCTGAGGCAGCGTCTGCATTGAAGTATTTGGCCAGTATGTGGGTGTGCATCACTGGAAGGCCAGGAGAAGTCACGGGGGTCCCCTGGACCCCGAGTTAAAGATGGTTGTGAAGTTGTGTTACGCCCCGTCAATGCTGGAAGCTGATCTTGGGTCCCCTGCAAAAGCAGCAAGTGTTCTTAACCCTGAGCCATCTCTCTGGCCCCATTTTTGTGAAGGTTTCGGTTTCTTTGCTTTAGAATGTATTTGGAAATGGGCTGGAGAGATGGCTCAGCTGTTAAGAACTCTTAGGGTGCTTTCAGAAGACCAGAGTTGGATTCCCAACATCCGTGTTAGGCTGGTCACAAGTGGCTGTAATTCCAGCTCCAAAGGAGCAGTAGCCTCTGGCATCTGCAGGCACCCACACGCACTTCAACAGTAAAATCTTAAAAATATATGTATTTTAAAAGATTTATTGCTAGGTGTGGTAGTACATACCTTTAATACCAGCATTCGCAAGGCAAATCTCTTTGAGGTTGAGGCCAGCTCAAGAGTCTCAGACCAGCCACCCCTACATAATGAGACCCTGTTTCAAAAATAAAGAAGGAGAAATAGCACCTCATTGATACCCGGAAAAGTTGTATGTACAGTCTCCATAATTAGTATTGGCTCGTGTTCTTAGCCAGCTACTGTTGTGCCCTGGGCGCGACACCCCCCCCCCAAAGAGACCCCCCAGAGACACAAACTCACCGAAAAGCAAAAGCAAGGTTTATCAAAGCAGGTCAAATCGCGGCAGGGACCTCGGTCGAGCACCCCGACACAGCGGAGGCTTGAGGAGGTGCCCGCCCCTCTGCAAACTCCGTTTTTAAAGGCAAAAGCCATAAGGTTACATCACGTAGGGGTACTAGTATGGGTACAATTCTGATTGGCTCAAGTTTTAGGGGCTTTTCAGAATTTTTTGTGTTATCTTACTTTGTAGGTTTTAACCGGTTGTTTGTCAAAACTTTACAGATTACCTCCGGCATTGGGGCATTCTGTGGTTAATCAATTGTTACCAGATAGTCCTTCAAACATCCTCACTTTGTACTTTGACCATCTCCGGCATTGGAGCATTCAATGGTTAATCAGTTGTTACCAGATGGCTCTTCAAACATCCTGACTTTGTCCTGGGACCTATGTCAGCAGCTCTGAGAATTTTGAAACCCAGGCCTGTTTTAAGCTGGGGTGAGGGGCTTGCTTGAAATGGGGGTGCTTTGGCCCTTTACTACAATGAATTCTTTCCTCCCAGGTCACAAATGGGTCACCTGTTGCTAGATCCTGTGGTCTTTGCTCAGCTTGCAAATCACTTGCTCTTGGGACTTGTCAAAATCAAGCCCTTGTAACATGGCCTTCCAGGACACAGTGCTTGGTGGCTGCTCTTGCTCTCACACAAATCCTCTTTTCCCCATTCTCACAATGCTGCAACATTCCTACTTTCTGTCTCGAATCTGTTGTCTGCCCTCAGTTCTTGACTCATCTTACTTAGTCTCGGGGTTGTTAAATGCCATTTACATGATTTGTTTTGTTGTTGTTGAGACAGGGTTTCTCTGTGTAACCCTGGCTGTCCTAGAACTTGCTCTGTAGACCAGGCCGGCCTGGCACTCACAGAGATCTGCCTTCCTCTGCCTCCTGAGTGCTGGGATTAAAGACCTGTGCCATCACTGCCCCGTCTAGACCATTCCTCTGAGCTTAAGATCTAGGTAAGCAACTGGCTGTTTTGAAATCTCCACTTGAGAGATGATCGGCCTCTGTGGGGTGATGTCCCCATCTCCACCAGTCTTCCCTATCTCAATGTCACAGGTTTCAGCTCAGGTACATAACCCCATTGGCTTAGACAGCACCGTGACAGTAGGAGCATGTGCCAGGGGACCTGCTTCATTTCCTGATAGGAAGCAGAGAAAATATAGGCAGATGTAAGGATACAATCCCCAGACCACAATAGCTGGTTGGTTTTTTTTGTTTGTTGTTTGTTTGTTTTTTGAGACAAGGTCTCTACTTAGCCCTGGCTGTCCTGGTACTATGTAGAACAGGCTGGCCTGGAACTCATAGAGATCCATCTGCCTCTGCCTCCTGACTGCTGGGATTAAAGGTTTAGGCTACTATACACCTGGGTAAATATATCCTAATTTAAAAAAAAAAAAAAAACGAAGAAGAAAGGAAACTGTGATAGACACAAGTGGATGGTGTTGTCTGGACTCCATGTGTACACACATGCACATGTACCTGCATGCAAGCTTCATTCATTCATGAGCAGGAGAACTTAAGGTTGGAAATGCCATTTATAGTTGTGTCTCTCCATTAGCTTATCAATTTCATGGAATCCTAATAATAAAACCCAGTGGGATTTTTAAAAAAATGTTACTTGATGACTTTTGAGTTTATATGGAAGTAAATGTTATGAAGGGCAAAGTCAGTTGTGTGAGAACAGAGAGCAAAGCGGACAGCTTTGGATAACAATTAGAACATACGGCGGAACAGCTGAAACCGTGTCAGAGAACCTACTGAGCTTCTTTCCTCCACCTCTGTTTTTTGAGACAAGGTCTCATGTCGCCCAGGCTGGCCTCAAACTCACTATGTAGCCAAGGATGACCACGCAGTCCTGATCCTCCTGCTTCCACCTTCCAAGGGCTGGGATGATAGACTTGCTCCAGCATGCTCAGGTTTGTCCTAGCACTCTCAAACATTGATGTCATGTTTATGGGAGACAATATATTATTTTGGGGTGATGAGGTATCCATTTGGCCTCACGTAGTGACACACACCTTTAATCCCAGCACTCTGAATCTGGTCTATACCGTGAGTTCCAGGCAAGCCAGGGCTATACAGTCAGGTCTTGTTTTAAAAAGAAAAGGAAGTAGATGGACAGTTTTTAATTGCAGGGTGGTGTGATGACTCAGAGGGAAAAGGCACTTGTCTTCGGAGTATGAGATTCTTGAACCCTTCCTTAGAACCTACACGGAGGGAGAGAGGAAACTCCTAAAAGATGTTCTCTAACTTCCACACCTATGCTGTGGCGTGCATGCACCCCCCCCCACACACACACAAATGCATACATGAAATGTATTTTATTATTTTGTAAATTGAGGCTGGGCTTGGGAGTGCTTGCCTGTACTCCTGGCACCCTGGAGGTGGAGGCAGGAGGATCAGGAATTGAAGCAACGTGGCAAATTCAAGGCCAGCCTGGGGTGCATGAGACTAGGTTTCAAAAAATAACACAAATGTTTACTTTTGTGGGGCCATGGAGAGAACTCAGGGCTCTGCACATGCTAGGCAAGCACTCTACCACTGAGCCACATTTCCGGTAACTAAAATCTCTGAACCTGCTTGTTGTGGTCGGCTTCACAAATGGGAACGAAATTAGTGGGCAAGCACTGCCACCTAGTGGCCATAATTCACACTGTAACCGTCCTCTTGTTTGCAATTTTCTTGTTTTGTTTTGTTTTTCCGAGGTAGGTTTTCTCTGTGTAGCTCTGGCTGTCCTGGAATTCTCTCTGTAGACCAGGCTGGCCTCGAACTCACAGAGATCCGCTTGACTCTACTCTGGGATCGAAGGTGTGGACCACCATGTCCAGCTTCTTGTTCCCAGTTTTACACCAAGGAAGACTTTTTTAGCGACTTTTTTCTTTGAGGTAGGGTCTCACTATGTCAACCTGGCTGCCCTGGAACTTGCTCTGTAAACCAGGCTGGCCCCAAACTCACATCTTTTGTGACATGGAGTTTTAGATAGCCTAGGCTGCGGCAGAAATCCTGATCCTCCTGAGAGGCATGACACCCACCACACATGGGTAAGAGCTGTTGATTCTTTTGGTTTTTTTTTCAAGACAGGGTTTCTCTGTGTAGTTTTGGTGCCTGTCCTGGATCTTGCTCTGTAGACCAGGCTGGCCTCGAACTCACAGAGATCTGCCTGGCTCTGCCTCCCAAGTGCTGGGATTAAAGACATGTGCCACCACCACCCATCGAGCTGATTCTTAAGTTTTCTTTTCTTTTCTTTCTTTTTTTTTTTTTTTTTTTGGTTTTTTTCCTGGAACTCGCTTTGGAGACCAGGCTGGCCTCGAACTCACAGAGATTTGACCGCCTCTGCCTCCTGAGTGCTGGGATTAAAGGTGTGTGCCACTACCGCCCAGCTAAGTTTTCTTAAGATGAATTATGAGGTTTCAGATATAGCTCAGTTGACAGAGTGCTGGTCTAGCATGCAGGATGCTCTGGATTCTATTCCAGGATTACATAAACTGGGTATGCTGATGCCAGGTGGTGGCGGCACATGCCTTTAATCCCAGTATTCAGGAGGCAGAGGCAGGCAGATAGATCTCTCTGAGTTCACGGCTAGCCTGGGCTACAGAGTGAGTTCCAGGAAAGGCGCAAAGCTACGCAGAGAAACCCTGCCAAAAAAAAGTCAATCAGGGAGTTGGAGAGAGAGCTTGTCAGTTAAGAACACTGTTTGCTCTTCCAGAGGACCAGGGTTCTATTTCTAACATCCACATGGGGGTTATCTGCTGCAACTCCAGTTCCAGAGGATCTAATATTCTCTTCCAGGGCCTCCACAGATACCATACACACAGTGCACAGACATACATGCAGGCAAAACAACCATATACATGAAATAAAGTCGCCAAAATAAAATACATCAACTAACCAGTGCTGGGTGTGATGGCACACATTTTTAATTTCACCCCTCGGAGGCAGAGGCAGTTGGACCTCTGAATTTGAGGCTAACCTGGTCTACACTGCAAGTTCCAGGCTAATAATTATGGCTAAATAAGGAGACCCTGTCTCAAGCAAGGCAACAAAAACCATACTAACAGCTTCCCTCTGTTCCAGGCTGGCTTCCAGTTTGCACCAACATTTCTGCCTCAGCCTTATAAATTGGGGTGACAGGTATGAGCCTCTATACCCAGCTACTGGTCCCCATTTTTGCTCCATGAGATAGCATCTAGAACACTTCCTGTACCTCCTTTCAGTATTTAGAAAAACAATTCCTGGGGCTGGGAGAGTGGTTCGTTGTTAGCCTATACCCTGAGTATGTGTGAGGTCCTGGGTTCAATTCCTAGCACCCCAGAAATCACTCCACACCAAAAAAGAATTTGAAAAGTGTCAGGAAGAAGCACAGGGCAACACTTCACACTGGGACGCTCATTTCAGTCCCCTGCTCATGGATAACGATGGTAAGGCCATAGACTTCTCACACTCTTTGCTTTCATCTAGGTTCGCCAGCTAGTCCTGGCTGGACCTCCTCAGAGTCTTTACCACCTGCCAATAGTAAACATGGCTGCATTTCCCTAAGCACGTCGCCTTCGGCCAGTAGTAAGCATGGCCGCATCTACTTCCGCCAGGCCAGGGGTGAAGGGTGGCGCAAGATGGCAGCGCCCATCAGCGGTGCAGGCGTGTCGCGGAGGATGCTGGCGGCGGCGGCCGGGACTCTTCTGGGGCGGCGGCTGAGGTGGCCCGCACCGGCCCGCGAGCACTGGAGACCGGCCGGGCGCTCGCGGAGCCGGCGAGAGGCGGCCGAGGCCGAAGCCGACGCTCCCGTGTTCCAGTACGTGGGCGAACGCGCAGCCCGCGCCGACCGCGTCTTCGTGTGGGGCTTCAGCTTCTCGGGGGCCCTCGGCGTGCCCAGCTTCGTGGTGCCCGCCTCGGGGCCCGAACCCCGCGCCGGCCTGCGGCCGCGACGCAGAATCCAGCCCGTGCCCTACCGCCTGGAGCTGGACCACAAGGTGAGGGCGCCGGCAGCCTCGCGGGCTCCCTTAGGGGACCTTTCTTCCCCCCCCCCCCGCGGCCGGACTTCCGGGAGCATGACCTCCTAGTTTCTGGGCTTTGTGGAGGGAGGCTTGAGGGGTGGCTGCCAAGATTGTTTATCTCAGTCCCCTGCCTTTGACTGCTGAGCTTACTTCTGTAGATTTTTGGTGTCTTCGCATTTTCTGTGTGCGCTTTGCTTGTGGCTTCAGAAAGTTTGGTGTCTTCATTTGTTTATTTTTCTTGCCTGATGGCGTAGGTCGACAATCATCACACCCAATGTTCTGCCCATCTTGGATCATTTGCTCAGCACCCCAGGAGCCCCACCGCCCAGTAACAGGGGTTGAAAGGGAGTTCCAGGGAGGTTCAGTAAGGTCCAAGACCCCTCCGCTGGTAGCGAATACATGATGGTATCTGTACTCAGGCTAGAGAGACTCCATGAGTTAAGTTAGGGGAGGAAGGAAGATTCAAAGTCAGAGAGATGTGTTGGCTGGAGTTAAGTGATCAGTGAACACGGGAAATGTCAGTCTGAGGAGTTAGAGAAGGTGGGAGGCTGCACGTGGTGCCGCGGAAGGGGCTTCCATGGAAAAAGGGCTCAGTAGGTCTGCTGTGGTGGCCAGCACCTGCAACTAGGACTTGGACTTGACAGTTGAGACCAGAGGGTTGTCACAAGCTGCAGATGGGCTTAGGCTCCATAGTCAGACCCTGTCTCTACCTTCAAGATGCTGAGGTCACAGCCGAGTGCTACCGTTTCTGGCTGACGTGGTGCTGGGGATGGAACCCAGGGCTTTATGCATGCCGTGCAAGCACTTTGTCAACTGAGCCACACCCCCGCCCTTGGGTTGTTTTTGTTTTTGTTTTTTATTTGTATACAGTGTGAGATGAGGGTCTGTATGTTTTTGCTTGTAGCTACCTGGTTGTGCTAGTATCTTTAGTTGAAACAAACAAACAAACAAACAAACACCCTTTATTTTGGGAGTATTTATTGATACTTTATAGAAGTATAGTTTTCCTGGGCGGTGGTGGCTCACACCTTTAATCCCAGCACTCAGGAGGCAGAGGCAGGTGGATCTCTGTGAGTTTGAGGCCAGCCTGGTCTACAGAGTGAGGATCCAGGACAGGCACCAAAAAACTGCACAAAGAAACCCTGTCTCAAAAACTTAAAAAAAAAAAAAGAAGAAATATAGTTTTGTTATTGTTTGAGTGGTGGAAATCAAACCCAGGATTGTGTCATGTTAGGCAAGCCTTCTATCACTGAACTATACAGGTTTTTTTTTTTTAATTTATTTTTTTAAAATATCAATCTTCTACCTTGTGAGTTCGTTAAATGGTTCTATAGATTTTAGTTTTGTTTTTTTCTTTTAATGTGTATGGTGTTACCTACATGCATGCCTGTATTACTTGTGTGCCTGGTACCCATGGAGGCCAGAAGAGGGCGTTAGAGCCTGTAGAGTTGGATTACAGATGGTTGCGTGTTGTGGAATATTACTCTAACTATGTAAAGACGTGTTACATTTGTTTATGCTGCATTTGCTTTGCCTGCTTAAGGCACCTGATTGGTTTAATAAAAAGCTGAATAGCCAATAGCTAAGCAGTAGGGGATGGGTGGGGCTGCTGCGCAGAGAGACTAGGTAGGAGGAGAGAAGAGAGAGAGAGAGAACGAGAGAGAAATAAAGGGAGATGCCTGGGGTCAGGCAGCAGTCAGCCAGCCCGACACAGAGTAGGACATCAAGAAGGAAAGAAAGGGGGCTGGAGAGATGGCTCAGAGGTTAAGAGTACCAACTGCTCTTCCAGAGGTCCTGAGTTCAATTCCCAGCATCCACATGGTGGCTCACAAGCATCTGTAATGAGATCTGGTGCCCTCTTCTGTGTACGTAATAAATAAATAAATCTTTAAAAAAAAAATTAGGAAAGAAAGGTTAAAAAGCTTTGAGGCAAAACATAGATGAAGAGAACCAGGTTAATTTCAGTTATAAGAGTTAGTGGGGCAAGCATAGGATAATGCTGAGCATTCGTAACTTGTAAGTCTGTGTGTCCTGATTTGGGAGCCTGTTGGTGGCCCAAAGGAAAGCCTGCTGCAGTTAGGAGCCTCCATGGTAGGTGCTGGGAATCAAACCTGGGTCCTCGGAAAGGACTGGAAATGCTCTTAACCACTAAGCCACTCCCCGCCCCCTAACCCCCAGCCTGTTTTTGTTTGTTTGTTTTTGGTTTTTCAAGACAGGGTCTCTCTATTATGTAACTCTAGGTGTCCTGGAACTCACTTTGTAGACCAGGTTGACCTCAAGCTCACAGAGATCCACCCAACTCTGCCTTCTGAGTGCTGGGATTAAAGGAATGCACCACCACCGCCCGGCTCCTAGTGTTTTTTATGAGCAGGTAGCCTGTGAATAGAGGCAGTTTAATGTCCTTGTTTCTAATTGGATGCTTATTTTGTTTTTTTCTCTTTCTCAATACTTTTTAACCTTTTATTTTTGTGTGGAAGGGTGTTCTGCCTGCCTGTGTGTCTGTGTACCACATTCATGCAGTGCCCTTGGAGGCAAGAAATGCCTGTCAGATCCTCTGTGATTGCAATTACAGATGGCTGTGAGCTACCATGTGGGTGCTGGGAATTGAACTCAGATCCTCTGGATGAGCAGCCAGTGCTCTTAACCAGTGAGCCATCATCTCTCCAGCCCTGGGTGCTTATTTTCTTTTCCTTGCTTGATTTAGTGGCGGGGAACTTTTAGAACAGTGTTAAATTGAATTAGTAAAAGCTAACATTTTTTATTTTTATTTTGAGACAGAGAGCTGATATTTAACTCAAGTTGGCCTCAATCTCAGAGTGTAGTCCAGACTGACTTGAAAGTTGTGATCCCCCTGCTTCATACCCTTCACGCCGGATTGCAGGTGTGTGCCACCAGACCCAGTCTTGTCTAGTCCAATTCTGGCTTGTTGGGAAGACATTTATGATCCTCTTCATAGACTGTGGCTGAAGTCCCCCTGGTTTGCCATCCTGTCAGGTTCTCACTTTAGCTGACGCTGTTAGATACTGTTCAAAGCCTTTCACACATGAATAGATTAAATGATATCATGTGCCCATCAAATATTTGTTGAGTGTTAAATAAACAGGACTCACTAAGCGTGAGAATAATCTTCATGTGCTAGGCATAATTGTGGTGACAGGTTTTCTCTGTACCCTGGCTGTCCTGCCTCAAACTCTCAAGAGTTCCTCCCTAGTGCTAGGTTTAAAGGCGTGTACCACAACTGCCTGGCTCTGGGCATAGTTTTCTTTTTCTTCTGTGTGTGTATGATGTTTTGCTTGTGTGTTTGTTTGTGTATCGCTTGCATGCCTGGTGCCACAGAGGTCAGAAGAGGGCATCGGATCCTGTGGAACTGGAGCTAGACAGTTGTGAGCAGCCATGTGGTGATGGGGATTGAACCTGTAACTCCAGCTCTAGGAAATCCAGCACCTTTTCTGGACTCTGAGGGTACCTGAATGCACATATAGACACAGACACACAAATAAAAATAATAATTAAAAAGAAATAATTAGCTGGAATAAAAAAAAAAATGTTCCTGGCCAGTTGTGGCACATGCCTGTAAAGATAGCAGTTAGGAGGCTGAGGCAGGAGGATTATGAAGAGTGGTTCTCTGGCATTTTTGTTTAGGATTCAGTGAGGTTCAAAGGGGTTCTCTGAGGGAGTCTCTGAGGGGGTCTCTGATAACAGCTGAGAGATAGTGGGGTGACATTAGGCTGAGGAGTTCACAATGTATGATAGGATGTGGGGATATCAACCCCTGCTAGCTGGGAGTGTAGTCGCTCTGGGTAGTGTGGAGAAGATTGATTTTAGAATGAACCCTGGGCTTGGGTTACCTCTGGCCCCAACTAGGACTAGCGCTCCCACCAGAAGTGAAGTTTCCATCTCAAGTTGAGTCCCCCCAGTCAGTGGAGGTGAGGACCGGTGATAGTTTAGGTGAAAGACTGAACGATGGTGTGGGCGCTGTTAATGTGTCTGGTTCACAGTAGCCATGGCAACGCCTCTGCATGGCCACAGGTTGAGGTGGCAGTGTAGCACGGGCTTTTGTTATATCATTTTGTGTGTGTGCTTGTAGATGCATGTGCCCAGGCCTGCCCATGCAGAGGCCTGACTGTCTTCCTCTGTAGCTCTCGGCATTATTTTCTTGAGACAGGGTCCCTCACTGAGCCTGAAGCACTCAATCTTGCTGGGCTGACTGGACTGGCCAGTGAACTCCTGGGATTCTCCTGTCTCTGCCCCATAACCCAGGTTACAGACAGCACATGCAGCCATGCCAGACGTCGACCTGAGTGCCGGGGATCTGAACTCAGGTCCACGTGCTTGCAGAACAAGCACTCTTACCTACTCTTACCCACTGAGCCATCTCTCCAGCCCCTCATTTCCTTTACAATTTCTGAACATTCATTGATTTTTTTTTTTTTGTGTGTGTATACATGTGTTTGCACATGCTTGTGTGCCATAGCACACGTGTAGAGGTCAGAGGACAGAGGTCAGTTCTCCTTCCACCATATGGTTCTGGGGATTGAACTCGGATTATCAAGTTTAAGTGGCAAGTTACCTTTACCTTCTGAGTCATCTGGCTGGGTCTTGTTTTCCTGTTTTAGAATTATCTAGAGAGATGAATAGTCCATCTCAAGATACACAGCTGGTAAGGGGTGGGGCCAAGATTCACACTAAGACCTTTCTGGACTGTGTCATGGTGGGTGAGATGAGAGTGCCCAGTGCATGCTGTGTGTGTGTGTACAGGAAAAAAAAAGAGAGACGATGGCCTTGCTTAGCAGACTGGGTGAATCATGAGTGTGTGTAAATAGCTTGTCACTTCTTGCTGGAAGAACTGACATCACAAATCAATCTGTGGTGCATTGTGGGAACTCTTTTTCAGATCTCCTCTGCTGCCTGTGGCTATGGATTCACACTGCTGTCCTCTAAAACCAAGGATATTACGAAAGTTTGGGGTATGGGACTCAACAAAGACTCTCAGCTTGGATTCCACAGGAGCCGGAAGGATAAAAGTAAGCAGGTATCCTTGCCATAAACTACAACAGCAGATAAAGAGGGTGTGTTGATGTATGCTTCTAATTCCAGCAAGGGAGAGGCCGAGGGAGGAGGAGCTTGAGTTTGAGGCCGCCTAGGCTACATAGTGATAACCTGTATCAAAAACTTAAGGGCTGAAGCCAAGTGTGGTGGTGCACACCTGGAATCTGGCCCTCTGGAGGTGGAGGCAGGAGGGTCAGGAGTTCAAAGTCATCCTTAGCCTTATAGTGAGTTTGAAGTCAGTCTGGATTACCTGAGACCTGTCTCAAAACAAAACAAGACAGCGGGGTTGGAGAATTGGCTGCTCTTCCAGAAGCCCTGAGTTCAGTTCCCAGCAACCACATGGTGGCTCATGACCATCTGTAATGAGATCTGATGTCCTCTTCTGGCCTGCAGACATACATGCAGACAGCACTCATCAAAACAAAACAAGACAGCAACCCAAACCCAAACAAGATGGAGTCTTAGGGATGTCTGCAACCCCTGGATTAAATTATTTTTCAGTCTCTTTGCTAACAACATGGAATGTTTGGGCAAAAAGAGACGAGCACTTGCTATTCGCTGACCTGTTTGTCCCTTAGCATTCTGAAATGGCTACAGTGTGGGCTGTCGAGATGGCTCAGTGGGTCACGGTGCTTGCTGCCAAGCCAGAAAACCTGAGTTTGATCCCTTGGGACCCAGGTGGCGGAAGGAGAAAACTGATTCCTCAAGTTGTCCTCTGACTGCCACGTGCATACTGTGGCACATGAGTAGCTGTACTCACTAAGTGAACTTTTAAAAAAGTTAAAAAGTTGACTGAAAACCTTAAGAGGGAGGCTTTACTGCAGCACTTGAAACTTTGATTATAATGTTAGAGAGAGGGCCTGCAGAGATGACTTGGTAGTTACCGAGTGTGTACTGTTCTCCTAGAGAACCCAAGTCTGGTTTCCAGCCCCTGTCAGGCGGCTCAGAACTGCTTGTAACTCCAGCTCCAGAGGGTCCAGCACCCTCCTCTGGTCTCCTCAGACACCACACTCGTGTGCACACACACACAGAGAGACATGCACATACACATAATTAAAAATAAATCTTTAAAAAAGTATTAGAACAGGCGGGGTGGTAGTGGTGCACACCTTAAATCCCAGCACTTGGGAGGCAGAGGCAGGAGGTCTCTGAGTTTGAGGTCAGCCTGGTCTACATAGTTCTAGGCTAGCCAGGGCTACAGAGTGAGAGACCCTGCCCCAAAAGAACAGCAAAAAGTTAGAAATAATTTAAAGTGGGCTGGACAGATGGCTCAGTGGTTAAGAGCACCGACTGCTCTCCCAGAGGTCCTGAGTTCAATTCCCAGCAACCACATGGTGGCTCACAACCATCTGTAATGAGATCTGGTGCCCTCTTCTGGCCTGCAGGGACACATGCAGACAGAATACTGTATACATAATAAATAAATAAATCTAAAAAAAATAATTTAAAGTGCTTTTTTTTTTAAATTGTTTTTGAGACAGGGTCTCACTATGTAGCCTACTGGTCTGGAACTTGCTGTGTAGACCAGGCTGGCTTTGAACTTACAGAGAGCCACTTGTCCTCTATTTCCAGAGAGCTGGGATTAAAGGCGGGTGCACCTACTCAGTATAATGATCTGGCCGTGTTGTAAGAACAGGAGTAGAGGGCTGTGGCCGTGGCTCTGGTGTTACGGTCCTTACCCAGCATGCACAAAGCCCTGGGTTCCATCCCCATGCAGCTTAACTGTGGGTGTGCATCTACAGTCCCAGGGCTTGGGAAGTAGAGGCAAGAGGATTTGCTATGTAGATGAGGCTGGCCTTGCACTGGTGATCCTCCTGCCTCTGCCTCCTTTCTCCGTTTCTTTTTTATACGTTTAGTTTGGGTGTGTGTGAAGGGGGTGCATGTGTCATGCTGTGTGTGCTGAGGACAGAGGACAACTCAGGCGAGTTGATTCTCTCTCTACCATGTGAGTCCTGAGGACTGAACTTGGGTTGCCAGGCTCTGTGGCAAGGGCCTTTACCAGCTGTGCCGTTTTTCTGGTTGGCCTTTGTATCCTGAGTGCTGGGATTACAGGTGTGTGTCACTGTGCCTAGATAGTGTGGCACTCTATCTGAAAAAAATAATTGTTTTCTTTTATTCATTCCCTAGTCCTTTTAGACTACTTCTTCCCCTCTCATAGTTTTAGTTTAATTTGATTCTCTCTCTCTCTCTCTCTCTCTCTCTCTCTCTCTCTCTCTCTCTCTGTATGTATGTATGTATGTATGTGTGTGTGTGTATTGCTGATGATCAAACTTGGGGCCTTGTGCTGCTAGATTATTTTTCGGCCCATGAGATTGATTGATTTATTCAGGTTTTATTGAAACTAGGTCTCAATCTGTAGCTCTCCTGTCTCAGCCTCCTGAGTTCTGGGACTATTAGGGCCCACTTTCAAGATGTCTTTTCTTTAAGATGGGGTTTCATGTAGCCCGGGATGGTTTTGAACTCACTGCTTAGCTAAGGGTGACCTTGACTTTGGATCTCCTTGCCTCTGGGATTTATGTGGTGCTGGGGATGGAGCCCAGGGCTTTGTGTATGCTAGGAAAACACTGAGCTTCCGCCCCAGTCCTGGAGATTTCTTTCAGGAGACAGGTACAGTGTTCAGGACCTGCCTGTGGTGTGGAGGCAGTAGTATGGGAGGGCAGGCTAGGAGCTGGGCTTCTTAGGCTAGCCTTGTGTGTAATGGGCATGCTTCTGAGTTACGGTTGTCTGGGTTCCTTCCTGTGGATAGCAGTGGGGTTGGACAGTCAGGGTTCTGTAAGAGCTGATGTGACTGGTGCTTCTGTTCAGCCAGGGGCTATGAGTACGTTTTGGAGCCCTCGCCTGTCCCACTGCCCCTCGGCAGACCTCAGGAGACGAAGGTGTTGCAGGTGTCCTGCGGTCGAGCACACTCCCTTATCCTGACAGACAGCGAAGGCGGTGAGTGGTCCTGCTGAGGGCTGAGGAGGAGGTGAGGGCATCTTGGAAACCATCTCCTGCTTGGTGTGACATGGTGTCCCCCAGCAGACCCTGGGGGGCTCTGGAGGGTAGTGTTGGGCAGACTTGCTAACCCTTGTGCTCCCTGCTGTTTCGAAAGCTGTTACCTACTCTACCACTGTACTCTACCTCAGCCCTTGATTTTTTTCCCCCCAAGATTTATTTTTAGTTTTTATTTGTGTATATTTGAGTGTATACTATACATGTGTGGTCCTTGCAGAGGCCAGGAAACCGTATCAGATCCTCTGGAGCTGGGTGGTTGTGATTGCCCAGTGTGGGTGCTGGGAACTGAACTCAGGTCCTCTAGATGAGTAGCAAGATCTCCTAACTGCTGAACATCTCCTCATCCCCGGCTTTTTTTTTTTTTCTTTTTAGATTTTATTTTTAATTGTGTGTGTATATTTATGTCTGAGTATGTTGGTAGGTTATGAGCATGTCAACAGCGGTCACTGTGGAGACATTATTAGTCTCAAATGCCCAGCTGAACAGAAGGGGCATCTATCCCTGGGTTCTTCCCCGATTGCAGTTCTCTTGGGCTCAGAGTCTTCAGTCCCTGGAGGTGGAAGCGGGTCTAGAGGAGAAGCATGCCGGGGCCCTGCCACTCTCGTGGGCTGCTGCAGAGGCTGCAGTGTGGGAGAGGGAGAGGAGCGGGCCAGGACTGCCTGTGTTAGCCGCTCCGCTCCTGCTGTGGTGGGGCCCTGGAGCCCTCAGAGCTGACTGACGGCAGGGCTGTGCTTCAGTCTTCAGCATGGGCAACAATTCCCACGGGCAGTGCGGACGGAAGGTGGTGGAGGATGAAGTCTACAGGTGAGTCAAGAGCGCTGCTTTCCCCACACTGTGGGAGCCTGAAGGCTTCTCAACACCCTGGTGCGCACCTGAGTGCAGGACGGGGTCCTTAATGCTGAGGGGGGATGGGTGTGTGTGTGTGTGTGTGTGTGTGTGTGTGTGTGTGTGTGTGTGTACATGTTCTCATGTATGAAGGTCAAAGGATAATTTTCAGGAGTCAGTTCTCTCTCACCTCCCACCAGGTGGCTTCTGGGGATCGAACTCAGGTTGCTGGGTTTGGTGGCAAGTGCCTTTACCTGCTGAGCCATCTTGCTAGGCCCCTCAGTTGTTTGATTTTTCTTTAGACAGGGTCTCACTGTGTATCCTTGCTTGGCCTGGAAATTTCGGTCTCAGGTTGGCCTTGAATTTACAGAGATTCATCGGCCTCTGCCTCCCAAATGCTGGTGTTAAAGTGTGACTATTCTCAATTTACTTTTGAAAATGTTTTCACTTTATCAAATTAATTAAAAAATTCCCCTTTGTTTAGTCTTTTTAGTTTAGTGTTGAAAACACTTTCCCAAGCTGTGAGTAGTGGTTCATGGCTGTAATCCCAGCACTTAGGAGGTACAAGCAGGAGGGTTGAAAATTCCAGGCCTGCCTGGGCAGTTTATGCAGACCTCATCTCAAAAGATAAAAATAGAGGGCTAGGGGCGGGCTGTGGTCTCCTAAAGCCTTTAATCCCAGCAGGGCTAGGGGCGGGCTGTGGTCTCCTAAAGCCTTTAATCCCAGCACTGGGAGGCAGAGAGAGGCCAGTGGATCTCTGAATTCGAGGCCAGCCTGGTCTGTAGGGTGAGATCCAGGACAGCTAGAGCTACATGATAGAGAGACTACATATCACACACACACACACACACACACACACACACACACACACACACACACACACACACGGGTGGGGACTGCAGCTCTTGGTTGAATACTTAACTTTCTCTCTGAGTGAGAACCAGGCATAACTGAGCAGTAGAGCGATTGCCCAAAGCTCCCCAGTTAGGGACTGGAGTGTGGCTAGGCAGTGGAGCGCTTGTCTGGCATGTGTGAGAGCTGGGTTCCATCCCCAGCACCATTAAAAAAACAAACAAACAAACAAACAAACAAATGGTCTAGATAGATGCTCAGCAGTTAAGAGCGTTTACTGCTCTTGCTGGGAGTTGTGTCCTGAGCACCATGTGGGGGTGGGCCTCACAACTCTAGTTCCAGGAGACACCAGGTCTGTGGCCTCCAAGGGCACCCGAACACTTGTGCACATACCCACACCCATAATTAAAAGCTGCAAATGAGGCAACCTCGGCTAACTGCCCCTCCCTCATTTGACCGTTTGAACTTGAGCAGTTCTGATGTTGGTACAGGTGGGGACATGACTGTGCTGGGGAGGGGGGGAGGCCAGGAGGTAGGGTGCTGGGTGGGGCCCAGCCTGCGTGGTGCTCATGACTGCCTCCGTGGCTTCTCTCCACTTTGTTCCTGGCTGCAGTGAGAGTCACAGAGTGCACAGGATGCAGGACTTTGATGGACAGGTGGTTCAGGTAAGAGGCTTGGGCCGAGGACCTCCAGGCCTGTTGAAAGGTTGTAAGGTGAACAGGGTGATGTCACATTTGTCATTGGGCTTCTCTGGATGTCTTAGGGGTACAGTCGCTGTGATGAAACGCCATGACCATAAGCAACTTGGGAAGGGAAAGGGTTATTTGGCATAGGTGTCCACATCACTCTTCATCATTGAGGGAAGTCAGGACAGGACTCAAACAGGGCAGGAACCTGGAGGCAGGAGCTGAGGCCGAGGCTGTGGAGGGGACTGCTTACTTACTGGCTTGCTCAGCTAGTTTTCTTATAGAATCCAGGAGCACCAGCCCAGGGATGCCCATAGGCTTGCTTACAACATAATCTATCTCCCCTCCCCTCCCCTCCCCTCCCCTCCCCTCCCCTCCCT